TGGCAGATGCATTGCCTTCTTGAGTCAGGTTTTCCAGAGACCTTTCTTCTAAGTCTTAATATCTGCCTCAGTGCAATAAGCTCCATGGTTTGAACACACCTGTGCCCATGAACACTTCACAGAAGTACAGAGAAGAGTCGGCAATGTGGATGATCTGCCTACCCCACTGCTGGGCTAAACAAGAACCGCTGCAGCCACCTTTTCAAGTTAGCACAACTCAACTCACCAAGTGAATACCAATCATATGACCCCCACAGGAGAGGGTGGAACTGCCCCTGTGGGTTTCTGAGACTGTAGGAAATACTCTTAATCAGTGGAGACCCTTAAAGAAAGAGAACAACAACAAATTATTGGGTTTTCCCCCTTGTTATAAGCATTAATACACCCTTATAGATAATTTGAAAAGCTCAAAGAATGAGTAATGAAATATGTTAACTCACGATCTATCTTGTGTGTACTTTGATAACTTTGTGCTCACAGTATTTTTAAGAATTGGGGAATCTGGCTCTCTTTCCCAGAATCTCAATCTTATTATAGTTGTTCTTTATTTACTGTCAACTCAGAAGGTCGAAAGCATGAATTTTCAGAATTAACAAAATAGTGGGTTAATCTCTTCCACATAGTCTTTTCTGATGGAAACTACTAGAGATCACACAAAGAAAGTAGAGTTGCAATGGTATAAACCTGCTCTAGTGGCCATTGTCATTATTAAGGTAACCAAACCAACCGGGCTGTGATCGAGTCAATTCTGACACATACATGGTTTTTGAGATTTTTTTTAAAATTCACTTTATTGGGGGGCTCATACAACTCTTGTCACAATCCATACATACATCCATTGTATCAAGTACATTTGTACATTTGTTGCCATCATCATTTTCAAAAAATTTTCTTTCTACTTGAACCCTTGGTATCAGCTCCTCATTTTTCTCCCTCCCTCCCCCACCTTCCCTCATAAACCCTTGATAATTTAGAAATTATTTTATTTTTCCATGTCTTGCACTGTCCGATGTCTCCTTTTACCCCCTATCTGTTGTCCTTATAGGTAGGTCATCATGATCACAAAACCTCATTGTTCTCCTAAAGAAGAGATTACTGGATTTGAACCATTGACCCCACACTTGGCAATCTGATGCTTACTCCACCATGGATCCTAATATTCAGTAAAGCCAAAACCAAGTCAAACTCATTGCCCTTGGGATGATGCTGACTCATAATGACCCTGTAGGACAGACTAGAACTGCACCTAAAGTTTCTAAGGCTGTAATTCTTTACAGGAGTAGGAGGACTTGTCTTTTTCCTGATTAAGGTAACCAAAGTCAAAGTCACTGCCATCAAGTTGATTCCGGCTCATAGAGACATATAAGACAGGGTAGAGTGCCCCTGTGAGACTGTAACTCTTTATAGGAGTAGAAAGCCTCTTCTTTCTCTTGCAGAGTAGCTGGTGGTTTTGAACTGCTGACCTTGCGGTTAGCAGCCCAACTTGTTACCATTATGCTACCAGGGCCCCTGATTTAGGTAAAGGAGGAATAAATATATAAAGGAAAGAGGAAGTCTCTGGGAGCGCTTTTAACCACACATACCTTTAGATTGTTAATCTGATAAGCAACCAGCTATTATTATGAAGTGAGGGTTACTACTACTAAAGTTTAAGTCAGTGGTTCTCAACATTCCTAATGTTACGACCCTTTAATACAGTTCCTCATGTGTTGCCTGGTACCTGGCTTTTGCTGTGGTCAATAATTTTGTTGTGGGAAGGTGAAGCCCGTTCTCAGGGGCATGTTCATATTCACCTGAACCTTAACCAGTGATTACTGATTTCACCAGGTCAACATTTCCCCCAAAGTATGTTGGAGCGCACATGTTTAATTTCTACTGATACGAGTCTTTTGACAATAGTGGAAAAGAAAATACTTAAAAATTTGAACGAATCGAGCTTAGGAAATACAGTGGGTGGACCCTTGTGGTCTGCTGGCATGTGACGTGTGGGTGGGAGTTTCTTTTTAAGCAAGAACAGAGCCCTATATTGACTGACCATGTCTTCCAAAGTAATGTCCCTGAGAACCAGTGTGCAGACAAGTGCTCTTTGTCTAATAGCATGAATAAGAAATGTGAACTGGCATGAATGGCCATGTGCATTTTCAGGGAGGAGTGGCACATGCCAGGCCCTATTGAATTAAAATTTTAGAAGCCTCTGCATGAAACTTGTCATGGATTGAGAGGGGGCTGCTGGGAATGCCTGTTCTTCAAGTCTTGAACGTACACTGGAAACAGAAACGGGTCTGGGTGGTGGCAGAGAGGAAAAGACTCTTGGTGCATTAGTAATCAGTGGTTTCAGAATTTGTAATCATTGGCAAACATTTCTCAGGTCTTATAAGTTGTAAAAGAGGAAGCGCTGTTTGCTTTGTGCCTTAGCAAAAGTACCATCCAAGGCAAGACTTTGATGTTCCAGTCTCGGTCTTCCTGATTGAAGAGGTTGAGAACAATCACTATACGGATGCTTAGTGGAGGGATAAGGGTTCTGAGGAATGATCATCTCACAGCTCTGGAGAGGGCCACCTGGTCTCCATATTTTCATCCATGCGAGAGAATTCATTAAACAAGCAAAAATCCAAACTCACGGCGTGGATCCAATTCCGGCTCACAGTGACCCTACAGGAGAGAGCAGAACTGCCCCTGAGGGTTTTTCAGACTGTAAATCTCGATGGGAGTAGAGAGCCTCACCTTTCTCCCATAGAGCAGCTGGTACTTTCGAACTGCTGACCTGGTGGTTAACAGCCAAATGTATACCTCCAAGACAAATAAGACTGTAAAATTAATGGTCAAGAGATGCTAAAAAATAAATGAGAGGGTTCTAAAGTATAACATGAAATAAAAGGGGAAAATAGAGATGTCAAACAGACTCGTCTTGAGACCTGATTTCCCCCAGCAGCTGTGTGCCGTCTCTGGGCCTCGGTTGCCTCACTGGGTAAGATGGGTTTCGACGTCATCTACCACTTCCCCCCATCTCTACTCTATTCCCATGGTTCAAACTAGGATCATACTGAACTTGGTTGTTAAGCAAGCTGGTTGTCATCCAGTTCATGACCACTCCATGCGTGTCAGAGTTTAACTGTGCCCCATCGGGTGCTCAGTGACTGATTTCCAAGGCACCTCTGGGTGGACTGGAACCTCTGAACTTTTGGTTGCTCCCAGACTCCTTGGCTACTATGAAGAAAGTCATTCCAGTTAACTCTGACTCATGTGACCACAGGTATTGCCATACAGACCTGTTCCAGAGGGTTTTCTAGGCTGGAATCTGTAGGGATGCCCATCATGGGGCCTTGTCCCCATAGTGCTGGCAGGTGGATTCACCAATCTTTAGGTTCAGAATTGAGCCCAAACCATTTGCACGATCCAGGGGCCTTTGGCTACTATAGGAGCATCCTAACTGGTCTCTCTGCTTTGAATCCTTCCTCCCTAACATGACGAGGCGTCCTGCCCCCATGTAAAGCCGTACCGTCTCCGAAACACATAGGGGAGGGTCTATCTTGTTCAGTAGGTGTGCTCGGAGTGGGAATAGATTCGATGGCAGTTTGTTATTTCTTTCTCTTTTTTTGGACACATCCACCAGAGGCTATGAAGCTCTCGTCATCTGGAATCACCTTCCTCCGTTTGCTTACTCTGTTTCTGATCTCTCTGACCCCCGCTCTGGCCCGGTGGGCTCCTTTACAGAGTCGAGACCTGGGCTCCCGTGGGGCAGGCCTCACTCCGCACACCCCACTTCCAGACACTTCTTCATCCAGTGTTAGCCTGCTTTCATTATTTTATTTAATTAGTGAGCTAGTTAGAGATAGATGTCAGAAAACCCCGGGATCTAATCTTAATTCTGACACTTACTGTTTGAGAGCCTGTAAGTAAGAAAGTCTCTGGTTCTCAGGCCCGGGTTTCCTTCTCTGTAGAGAGAGAGACGTATCCCAGATGATACTCCAGGTTCCTTATAGCTTTAGAAAATTAGATCCTCCAGGTGGGAATTTCCCCCCTCTCATCTCTGCCCAGGTCCCTTCTCAGAGGTAGCCGATGCTTTTATAATTACTACTTGGTGTAGATGCTCCCTCATTAAAAAAAAAATTTTTTTTTAAGATTTCTTGTTATTGTTGCTAGATGCTGTTGAGTCAGTCTCAATTAATATTGACAACAAAACCAAACATTTCCCGGTTCTGGGCCACCTTTCCAATCTTCCCTATTTTGAGCCCATGGTTGTAGCCGCTGTGCTGATCCATCTCATTGAGAGCCTCTCCCTGTCCCTGGACTTTACCACGCACGATGCTTTTCTCAGAAACTGGTCCCTCTTGGAAACATGACCAAAGAACTTGAGATGAAGTCTTGCCATCTTTGCTTCAAAGTGACGACGAACATTGTCCAGAGATCTTTTGCAACGAATTGGCCCTATTCAAAACATCCTTTGACTTCAAAACAGCTAAATTGAATGAAATTCTAGGGGACTTCAAACTTTTCTTTGTTTGTCGTGATGTTTCTTCCTGGGGAGGACCTGGGTTATAGTTCAGTTGAGGTCTGTCTAGTCCAGACTGAAGGTTGTAGTCTGTAGTCTTCAATAGTAAATGCTCCGAGCTGTGTTCTCTCTCAGCAAACGGTCACCTGCATACTGATGCTCGTTAATCGATCTTCCGCAAATGCTGATGCTGCGTTTTAATTTTTTTATATTATTTTTTTATTTAAAATTTTTTGTGAATTAGGTGCATTTTTTAATTAATCCTCATAGACGCCCCCATATATATTTGTTGATGGATTTAACAATATGGGTATGTGTGTGCACTGTATCTAGCAATGACCAATAAGTTATAGACTATTGACATGTAAGAATTTTATATGAAAACTATTAAGTAGAACAAAACTCAGTGTCTGAGGATTGGTTTTGATTTCATTTTGGAGTTACCCCTTCCTCCCCGACCCCCCTCCCCGCTATAATTTTCACGGCAGATCATTTTTCTCTCCCGCAGCTGGAAACGGACAAACTGGCCCTCCCGACCAGCCCCGGTCCCTTGAGCCCGAGCCCCAGCCCCAGCCCCAACATGAAACTTGAGAATTCCAGCCTCCTGACGGTGGAGCCTTCCCCGCAGGACAAGAACAAGGGCTTCTTCGTGGATGAGTCGGAGCCGCTGCTTCGCTGTGACTCCACGTCCAGCGGTTCCTCCGCGCTGAGCAGGACCGGTTCCTTTATTACCAAAGGTATGGGCCCCCACCGACAGCAAGCGCGCACCTTCACCTGCTTTCCACCTTCACCGCCGGCAAAAAAGGCTCGACCCTTTCTGCCTGCCTTTTCGGCTGCCCTCTAGTAACAGAGGCTCCAAGCTGAGGCTGACTGAGAGAGACCCCCCTCGTTAGCCTGTTGGGGGCATGATGAACGCCATAGGACAGGATACAACTGCCCGTGAGGTTCTGAGACTGTAACTTTGTAGGCGTGGAAAGGCCTGCCCAGAAGCATAAGTTACCCTTCTCCTCCTGATGCTATCTAATGGGCTTCAGGGAAAGGCTGATAAAATGTAGTCCGGCAGGTTTGGGGGAAATAATTAACCAGAGTAGCTGAATCCAAAGATGTAAAGTATAACCTATCGTCTAGTATGAAGTACAAATTTTTTTTCATGAGTATATGTATTTTTTGTTTTTGTCCTTTAAAAAAAATAATAGTGATAATTAAATAAAAAGTGAATGTTTACAAAGCAGTGTAGATTCTAATTCAGCAATAGTGACATGAATTGCGCCTAAAACTGGCTCTGTTAAACTAGGTTGCAATTGGCAATACTTAAGGCAATATGGATGGATAGTTAGCAAACAGCTTGCTAGATTCCATTTTGAATGCAGGGTAGGAGATTAATATACTCCTACTGATGAAAGATTTTTGTGAGAAGTAAGCCTGGCATGAGGATTCCCAGTTATATCCTAGGGAGAGGGTAATTTGATCTGTTGTTACATTTTGTAAACTATGACATATTTTACATATGTTTTGTACACTGTGCATGTTTATAATCATTTATTTTGTATTTATACAAATAGTTCAAGTTTCTACATTGTTACTCATTATGTTACATTTTAAGGAAAACTTTATAAAAATAATGACGGTGATGATGATGATTAAAGTTACAATTCCTCACCCCAGTGTAGAATCTGCCCTGTGCGGCCATCCTTTTTCCTTCTCTGTGTGCTTCCCGCCATTCACTCTCAGCAGTTTGGTTGTAAAATAGTGCAATCGAATCTGAAAGCCAGAAATTTTAGAAAAATTTTAGACCGATGTCTAAGAATTTCCGAGAATTTCCCAGATGGAGAAAGAAGCAAACAAAACGTCTTCTAAAATTGTTTTTCAAGCTTCTCTAGCTCGGTATTTCAGGGAACAGTGGGAGTGGGTTATGAATTGAACTGCCAACTACAGGGCAGAGGTTCAAACCCATCACCATTCCCTTGAGAGACAGATGAGGCTGGCTGCTCCTGTAAAGAATTACAGTCTTGGAAATCTTAGGAAGCAGTTTGACTCTGTCCTGTAAGGTCAGCGTCAACTAAATTTATGGCAGTGGGTTTGGTTTCATTTAGGTATTCCAGAGTTTTCCCTCTGAGTTTTTAGAAGCAAGCATTTAACTCATGCTAATGGGCACAACAGTCCCTTCAAGCAGATCCTGGTTTGATCTCTATTGGGCAAATCTCGTTATCTTCTGTGTGTGTTGCAAACAAAAACTCATTGGCTCCTTAAAGTGAACCAAAGGTTTCGGAACTCATTTTGGAGACTGGGCAGGTCACTCTCCCCACCCCTCAAGCCAGCCCTTTAGAGGTGTGCCCATCCTTGCCCTCTCTCCCCTGCAGAAAAGAAGGACACAGTGTTGCGGCAGGTACGCCTGGACCCCTGCGACTTGCAGCCCATCTTCGATGACATGCTCCACATCCTGAATCCGGAGGAGTTGCGGGTGATCGAAGAGATTCCCCAGGCTGAGGACAAACTGGACCGGCTATTTGAGATTATCGGAGTCAAGAGCCAGGAAGCCAGCCAGAGCCTCCTGGACTCCGTTTATAGCCATCTTCCTGACCTGTTGTAGGACACTGCACTCTGGAATATTGCTCACTTTAGTGGCTGGGTGGTTTTATTGGATTTTGGGGGGGGTTTTGATTCTTTTTTTTTGGTGTGTGTGTGTGTTTAACAGAATATATGGCCAGTGTTTGAATTCTTTCTTTCCTTTTGTGTTTAACCCTTCCGGGAAGTTAGTTTCTAAGCCAAACGTTTTTAAGATGTAGCTGTTGCAAAAGACCCACCACTAAAGTTTTTTGCCTTTTTTTTTTAAGTTTCTTACTTCTCTGTTTTGACTTCTGATGCATTTTAAAAAATTGTTCTGTGCACTTTAAATTCACATAACCTACCCTCAGGCAGTGTGACTTTTCCTCCACACTGACTGCGAGGCTCTTATAAGTGTAGCGACATCATGTGAATTCTATAAGCAGTCTTCACATCGCTCAACACCCACACCTACTCCTAGTATTTTTATTACTATTATGATTACTAGTATCATCACATTATTTGTCTCTGACCAATTAAGACCCCACTTGATTTACTGCCATGCGATGAGATGCTGCGTGATCATTTTCCTGTCTTGTTGTACACTCATGGCTGAACTGGAGCGCACCGTTGCTGATACTGTGGTTTTCACCCGGACGCTGTATAGCACGCTTGATTCCCGTGCTTGTCTGATGCTAATATGCTCTGGGCTGGAGAAAGGAAATGCTGGAGTCACCAGGAATTGCTATCTATGGGGCTTATCAACAAAGGCCCCAAAGGAATTTGAACTTCATCTTTTAGGGTCTGAGCTATTAGAGGATATCTAGGTGCATGTTGGCAGGTCAAGAACGTGAATCCCTGTGGCACCTTTCCCACAGAGAATCTGCCCAGCTTTGCTTCAAACAGTCTCTTGTTTTTATACACACATAGTCAACTAGGTCCTGTCTGCCCTCAAGGCCTCGGTCTTGGTGGGTTTACGTCACCATTCAATCACTTAAATTAAAAATGGCTGCAGCTGTAAGAACTCTTGTCTGATGTATTTGCAACTTTGCTCACATTTATAAGCATACCATCTAATGCTCAGTTTTGAGATCCGTATGCAAGGGTGGTGTGGCTCCCTTTGTGTGGCTGGGGGATTGTGGATAGTGGTGAGGAACTGATATCAGAAAAATGCCTTCAAGTGTACTAATTTATTAATAAATATTAGGTGTTTGTTACCTGAGTTGTTTGGGTGTGTTTAATTATTCTCTGTGAACAGAGGGCAGGGACTTGTTTAAAAAGAAAAGCTATAATGGATGATGGATGGGAATGAGTAGACGGATCCCCCTCACCCCCCTGCGGATGATTTCAGGACTAGTAGCTAGACCAGAGGGTGTACACTGGTACAGATAGGAACTGAAAATACAGGGAATCCAGGGCGGATGAGCCCTACAGGACCAGTGGTGTGAGTGGCGAAACAGGGAGGATAGAGGGAGAGTGGGTAGGAAAGAGGGAACCGATTACAGGAACTATATATGTGACCTCCTCCCTGGGGGATGGACAACAGAAAAGTGGGTGAAGGGAGATGTCGGACAGGGCAAGATATGACAAAATAACAATTTATAAACTATCAAGGGCTCATGAGGGAGGGGGGAGCAGGGAGGGAGGGGAAAAATGAGGACCTAATGCGGGGGGCTTAAGTGGAGAGAAAATGTTTTGAGAATGATGAGGGCAGTGAATGTACAAATGCGCCTTACACAATTGATGTGTGTATGGATTGTGATAAGAGTTGTATGAGCCCCCAATAAAAATATTTAAAAATCAATCAATCAATAAATTAATTAATTAGTTAGAAAAAAGAGAATAGAATGAACCAACAATGCTGGATAGTGAATTTCTAGAATATGGATAGTTTAGGAATGGCATTTATTCATAACCCACATTTACTCAGCGCTCCATGTCTATGGGAATTTTGTTTTCTGTTATCTTCCTTGCATCCTCATAACTGCATCATAAAACGTCACGTGTGCTGCCCTGGGCTGGTTGTCTACCCGCAGTGACTTTCCGTGCAACAGGATGCCATCCTGCTTGCTTCTGCCTCTTCCGCACAATGGTCAGCACGCAGTAGTCCATCCTTGTGGCGAGTGCACTTGTCTCCTCACGGGGTTCCCTTGCTCCCTGGTCCTCTGCTGCACCAGACATGATGCTCTCCTCTAAAGATGGGTCCCCCTTGACAGCATGTCCGAAGCCAGCAAGCAGAGAGTATTCCCTTGTGATCCATAAGGTTTTCATGGGCTGACTTTTCAGCAGTCGAAGACTGGGTCTTTCCGCCTTCTGTTTGTCTTCATCTGCCAGCACTGCGGAAACCTGTTTACTGTGGGTGACACAGCGGGTATTTGAAATACTGCCGGCATCGCTTCTGGAATCACAGCAATGTGCATGAGCTGAGGCCCTTGGCTGCGCTTCTTAATGTGCAATGGAAACACCTGGGGATCTAGTTGAAATGCAGATTCTGTTTGTACTTCCCGGGGGTGGGGGTTGGGGGGGGCAGGTGGCTGAGAAGCTGTAAGGCTAACAGCCTGCTGGGCAGTCTGGATGCTGGTGCTTTTCATGTCAAATGTCACAGGCATGGGTTTCACTCAAGAACTCCAAAGGCCAGGCCTGTTGCCTTCAGGTTGCTGCACTCTGTGTGTGGCCGAACAGAACTGCTCGCCAGGGTTCTCTTGGTGAGAATCTTTGGAGAAGCAGCTGCTCGGGACTTTCTTCCGTGGCAGTGCTGGGAGGCTTCGAATGTTAGGTGCTGCCGAGCGATTCTGGCACACAGTGTTCCTATGCAGGACAAATGGAAACACCACTGGGCCCTGCACCATCCTCACAATCGTCCTTAAGTTTGAGCCCATCTCACTGAGCACCTTCCTCCTTTTCTCTGCCCAGTGGCTCACGGAGAGCAACTATTTGGCAACAGCCAGAGAATCGCTCCGCTCAGAATGGGAGAATGAGGATGAAAGAGGATGTGCCAACCCCACACGAGAGAAATAGCACAGGGGAATGATGCTAAAGGAGCCAAGTTAACCTCCTCAAAATCAGCAGCAGGGACTTTCAGTCCTAGCTGTACATGGGAGTTACCAGGGGGCTTTAGGGAACCTTAGACCATTGAGTACACATCGGGGTCTCAAGGGATGGGGCCCAGGCATGAGCATTTTATAATGAAAGCAGTCAGCGTAGAGAAGCATCTATCTAAGGGTTTGTAAAGAAAATGTTTCTCAAGCATCCAGATCGGATAGAGTATGCCTACCAGGAAGTTAAAGTGGGATTCTCTAATTTAACAAGGGATTTTGCCATAATCAGTCCCACTCAACTCTGCTGATTTGCTCTGGGACCCATCCGCTACTATAAGAGTTTCCATCACCCCACTGAGAATTGATAGACCACTACGTAATCACCTTGATGAACTCACCTACAATTGATCCGGCTTTCCTGGCATTGAGCATAATGCATAAGCTAAGATTAGACATGACTATCTGCCATGCAATGTGATGCTGATGAACGTTACTATATATATTTGATAGGAAGCTTAGCATCCAGATTTGTTGCACCTGGGCCATTTGTAGCATCAAATCTGTTCAATAGCACAATGTTGCACCAGGTGCCTATTCTGAATTTTGATGTGAGAAAAAGAAACAAGATCTCTTGTCTAGCATGACTGAGCTTCTTGCATTTGGGAAGACCCTGGTTTTGGGATGAGGAACCAGGCTAACCTGATAGGAGCTGAGCCTGTTTGCTCCTGCATTGCCTTTTGTCTTATTTCCTGAACGTGAGTAGAAAATGAACTACGGATAAAATTCACTTGAGCAAGGATTGTTTTGAGTTTTAAACCATGAAAAAGATGTTTACCTATTATTTGACTTTATGTAGCTGTCTATCTGCAATGTGCAGGTCAAGGAAACATCTGGATGCTGGAGTCTAGGCCATGAAGTACAGATAATCATAGAAAACTTTGCCGGGGTATCTAAGAGACATGGCCAGGATGAAACAGGCTGACCTGGAGACCTCAGGAAGAGGAAAGACATGTTGTGTCCAGGACTTACTCTTTTGAACAGTTTGAGTTTTGTACCATGTGAATGGACTACTGAATAGAAATATTAATAGAATAGTATTAGAAAATCTCTGGGATATCCAAGGAATGAACACCCATGAAACCCAAGGTAAAAGTTACATATATTCACCACACTTGAAATACTAGTTCTTTAGCCTGGGTTCCCTAGAGATGCAAACCATTTTGTGTGCTTGTATATGTGTGCGTAGATAGATGATGGCTAGAGAGACAGGCAAGTTCCAAGTTAGTGGATCAGATGGCAGGCTGGAGGCCTCTCCTGATTCATGGAGCTAAAGGGGCTAATGAGGTTGGCAGGTCAGAGGGCAGATTACAGACCATTCCTAGAATCAGAAGACAAGACGGAGGTTGCTGGCTCAAGACCAAAGAACTGAGTTCAGATGAGGCGCCAGATGCAGTCTACAAACCCTACAAAAAGCGAGTAAGCTTTTCCATAATGTTCACATGTATTTGAAGCAGGCTATACCCCCGTGTAGTTGCTTGAGTGCTCATAGATTTCATCACAGAAGTAATTACATTATATTAGATCTTATCATAGGGGGATAACTACATCTTGATGGCCAAACACTAAGAACCTAGCCCAGCCAAGTTGACTTAGCCTCAATTATAACTAATAATCATATTAGGTGGTTTATAATAAACTTAACCTAAACAATTAGGGGCTTTGTCCTCTGTTTCCTAAGAGATAACCTCTAAAACCTTGGATTTTCCCCAGTGACTGAATTATTTTTCATGAGGCCTCCTCACCACACCTGGGGAGTTTATGCTAACGAAGCGACTATGGGATTGGCCAGGTTAGAAAGACCCTGGAGAGAGCTGGAGGTTGAGTTCAGTCATATGGGCAATGATTCCATCATTGCAATTATAATGGGATTCCCCATCTCATGCCCCACCCCCTCACTAATTAAACTGAAGATGAGTTCTCCACAGACTTCCTGATTGACAGAAGACATCAGGATTCGGGAGGACAACACCCCCTTGTAGGGACATGGCAGCTCTGCCTTGGGACCAGGCCAGAATGCATGGGTCCCTGCATTTCCTCTTTATGCTGATCCGGATTGTATCCTTTGTGCAGTAATAAAATTATACGAATAACAATTTCCTGAGCTCTTTCAGCCATTCTAGTGAATTATTGAGACCAAGGGAGTAGTGGGACCCGCAAGTCAGGAGTGAGAGCACTCCTGTGGATGATCAGGCTTACAGTGGGCATTATGCAGGGATAAATGGAACCCTCCAAATTTTTGATCAGCCAGTCAAGGGAGGAGGATCTCTTGAGGACCTCCAAGCTTGCAGCTGGTGTCTGCAGTCTGGGCAGACTTGGCATTTAGCAAACCATGCCCTTTAACTTGTGCAATGTGACCCAGATTTGGTGGTTAAGGTCAGAGGGAGAAGCATTGCATTAGCAATTGGTTATCAGTATTGGGCTGAATAGGATCATGGAACTGGATTGACTGACTCATTTTAGGCAATCTGCCAGGGCATGAAGCTCTTGTCCAGCACACCAGGACAAGTGGCAGCCACCACTGCCAGCACTTTTTGTGATTTTAGATCCATTTCCTGGGCTTGGCTCCCAAACAAATATGAAACGAGTGCAAATTTCAAAGGAAGAAAGTTCAAACTTGGAAGTGTAGAACTAGAGTTCTTTTCTAGGGAAAAGGTCAACTTTTTATATTTCTCAGCCCAGGAAGCACTGAAAATCAATGTCTTCCTGAGGAGAAGGTCAAAGGTCTCTGATAGTTCTTCCTCACTCATGACTGGGGTATTTTTGTTGTTTGGTTTTTTTCTTTATGACTGTATTATCTGCAGGGAAAAGCTGCATGGGAAATCTTATGCCAGAGTTAAGAGGCAGAAAGGGAGTTCATTTCCAACAGTCTTATGCCCCTGGTTTCTCAATATTTCCAGAAGCTGAGAACAGATAACTTCATGTCATGGTTTGACCGCAGCCCTGGTGGTGTCATGGTTATACATTGGGCTGCCATCTACTGGGTTGGCATTTAGTACACCACCACCCACCAGCTCCTCGGGAGAAGGACTGGGCTTTTCACTCCCGTCAACAGCTGCAGTCCTGGGAAGCATGGGCTTGATGGTGGAGAGTCTGATATTGGTGTTTAGTTCAATATAGTGCACAG